TCCGCGGTTGATGGTTCTACTGTCAAAAATGGCAGCTCGATGGCGGCAGCAGAATTTAGCCAGTCGGTCCGGACAAGACCCTAAAACAGCGGTCCAGATGGAGAGCTCAAAGCAGCTCCAGCAGTTGTCACCACATGTCCGTCACTGTAGCTGTTATGGCCGAGGATGTTGCTGAGGGGAGCTGCAGGCCATGTGTTAAGGGTCACGGGGAGGAAGTGGAGTTTTACTACCGAAATCGGACCAACCCGGCACGCCATAAAACTGAACTTTATGTTGCATGAATGCGGCGACATTGAAAGGTAACTTCACAAACTGCACATATGGCATGGCTATTGCAGCTTGGCAGGAGGTATAAAAAATGAGTTTGTCCGCTGCTTCTAACTCATTTGAGTTGCGAAAGGCTGCATAATATAATGGCACAGCCTATACATAACAGCGGTATCCTCAAACAGTCTTTGTCGTACACATTACATATATAAAAATCAAAACGTCCGTATGTATGTATGTATGTATGTATGTATGTATGTATGTATGTGACGCGTCAGTCACGCTTGGCGGGCTATTGCTCCGGAACGGTGCGGGCTACGGGGGTGAAATTTTCGACGTAAGTCGGACGCGTGCATCTGTTTGTCGTATTAAATTTTGGTGGGGGTGGGTTCGGTGGTTTGCACGTGGCGGGCGCATCTTTGCGGGATTTTGGGCCGCGGCCGGCGCCGATCAGAGAGCACGCGCCTTAGGCTCAGTTTCTTCGCTGCAAAACTGAGGGAAATCAGAGCCGGCAGGTCACTGACCTTTGGCAATGAATACCGGAACAGAGCACCGCCGGCCAGGAGGAGACGCCAAATTTATTCTGGCAATAACTCGGCCGCCACTGGGCCGATTTTAATGAAAATTGATTTATTACGCTGCGCGTAATGCTGTCCCTCTAGTTTACATATATAAAAATCAAAACGTCCGTATGTATGTATGTATGTATGTATGTATGTATGTATGTGACGCGTCAGTCACGCTTGGCGGGCTATTGCTCTGGAACGGTGCGGGCTACGGGGGTGAAATTTTCGACGTAAGTCGGACGCGTGCATCTGTTTGTTGTATTAAATTTTGGAAGAGGTGCGCTCGGTGGTTTGCACGTGGCGGGCGCATCTTTGCCGCATTTTGGGCCGCGGCCGGCGCCGATCAGAGAGCACGCGCCTTAGGCTCAGTTTCTTCGCTTGCAAAACTGAGGGAAATCAGAGCCGGAAGGTCACTGACCTTTGCCAATGAATACCAGAACAGGGCACCGCCGGCCAGGAGGAGACGCCAAGTTTATTCTGGCAATACACTGTAAAAAAAGTTTACAAACTACCGTGTTAATTGCTCAACAAAAAGATAGTATTAAGACACACAAAAGCTGAAGATAGCAATGAGGTTAGTAAACGGTTTGTATGTAAGCACATTTATTTGTGGTAAACAAACATATAAGTTACAAAACTAAGCCAAGGTGTGTCAACTAGTGGTGTGTCAGCAAGCACTATGCGTGTTTTATACACTATATGCCACACTTACGCAAAACGTGTTTTCGAACAAACTATACATAGCAGGGGACACTAACATACGACCTTTTGTACAACATGTACCTTTGTGCTAAAACACACTTGAAGTTATTTGACAACTGCGGTGCAACTGCGTCACGTCCGCCATGTTTTTTCGGCGCGCGTCCTTTGGCTTGTGCGGCTTGTGCTGTGTCCGCGTCGTGCGGGTCTCTGATGGTGAGTAAGGTGTTGCCAGATATAAATTTGATGTAATTATGCTTCTGTGTTGTATGCCTTGAATTTTGTCAATCGATTTATCTTTATTCGGTGCTAGTGATAACCGTGATGATGCAATGAATGTTGTGTGAATGAGGGACAGCATTATGACCACCAACTGTATCTTAGCAAAATATAGGTTAAAATATAGGAATTCTATAGGTTATTACTGAGGTTACTAGGTTGCTGTAGATTATACTTTGATACAGCCCCCTAATTATTTAATTGCACATGAATAAGGTGGCCCAGTAAGACAAACCCGACAACTATGTCTAAGGACAACTCTAGTAAGATCTGTCTAACGCATTTCAGGTGGCCTTGCAGTCATAGGATAACCTTTATTGGGCAAAAGCTGCCCATTTTTGTTCACCTAAAAATATTTTTTATTTAAAATTTCTTTACGTTCTTTCCTGTTCAGTGAAAGTTGAAATGGGCATCATTTTCTGAAATTTATTGGTAGGGTCCCAAATGATAATTTTTGCAACATTGAAGCATGGGAGTTGCAACTTGCCACATTCTCAAAATGAATGATGAGAGTCAATTTAATTCAGGAAACAGGTTAACTCCCCTGGTTCCGCCAGTGTATAGCTGGAATGGAACTTGCATATAAAGGCAATCATTTAAGTATTCGGTTCCAAGGTACAGGGGTGGCAGAAGGTGAAGCACAACAGGGGAATGTGCCACACAAAATTGTGGCTGGGGCACCTGGGTCGAAATTTCCAATAGTACCTTACCTTTCCGCTGTGGCTAGATTAGTTATATCTATTGATTAATGTTAACCAATGGTGTTAACTTCAATAACCACCTAAAATAGCCAGAAAATTTACACCTAAACCAAATTATGAACACTGATGGGTATAGGCACATAGCTCGGACAAAATATAACCAAACCTAACCTAACCAGACCTAACCTAACCTTACCTAACCTAACCTAAACTAACAAAACCTAACCTAAACTTACCAAAAATACACCTACAACCTACATTGGCAACCGAAAGCTACTTGTGCCGTTATTGAAAGTAGACTAAATTAACTAATAACAGGAAAATCAGCATTTAATTAGCTTTTTGATGTTTGCAAATAACTAACAATGATATTTCACATCGAAAAACACCTATACTATACCTACATTTTTACTAATGTTGGAACAGGTACCGTTGGAACTTTTCACTGACACCCGACATTTAAAGAAGAGCATATGGAATGGAAGATGAGTTACCGCATTATTGCAGATAAAATTGTTAACATTGATTTTCTTCTATGGGGGTTTCAATTCTTGGGGATGCTTTTCTATGCGAGAATTAGATATTTACTTTGCCCTTACATCCTGAGGTGCCTTCCGCGGTCCGCCAGTGGCCCGGGAACGTTTGAAAAGTTGAGGGGGCAGGTTAAAAAGTTGAGGGGGCAAAAGTTAAAACTCAAAAGTTCTATATTTCTTTCTTTCCATGCAACGCCATAAGGCTAATGTTGAATTTTCCCGAAAGTTGGAGGGGCGCTGCCCCTCCAGTCCAAAAGTGGGAGGGGCAAATGCACCTGCTGTCCCTCCTCTTCCCAGGCCTATGCCTTCTGCTGCTGCAGCTTAGACATGTAGTTTAACTACCCACTGACTAAGAATGCAGTTCACATTGCCTTACTTTAATGGATCACAAGGTGAAACTCTTGATTATCACTTGTCTAGATATTAAGTAATCCAGATACTTTTGATATCGATCAATAGAGCAGCTCACACTTAGTGTGTGCTGTAAAATCTGACATGGGAGATGTGTTAGGCAAGGGAAAAGCAAATATTTTAGGCCCACCCCACTTCAGTTGGGAAAACAGTAATATGTTCCTTTTTTTTTTAAAGCTTCTAGCAGGCTTTCGTAGCCGCCGTTTCTAGTCGGAATGTAAATTGGCGGAAATGGCCAAGATAGGCCAAGGTGAAGGAGTTTATGCCCTGGTTTATGGCGGGCAGCATTTTTGGAAATCTAGAATAAAAATTACGATTTTTTATTTGAAACAAATAATGTGAGTTACATTGTAGGTTTTTGGGCAAGTCACTGTAGTATGAATCAACAAATTATCTTCCAAAAATAGCAAGAATGCAAAGCTCTCCGGGTTACCTTGGCCGTTTTTCCGCCTATTATATTTGGGCTATCTCGGCATTTTCGACACTACCGCGGGTAACTACTGGCCGCATGACCGGAGATAGGCCTGTTTATCTTTAAGAATCAGTAAAAAAGGAGATTTGTTTGTACAGTGGCTTGCAAAATTAATTTTTGATAAGTAAATCCCTGGCCTAAGACCTATCCCTTTTCGCAACTAGCGAGTAGACCGCATCATCAAACATCCGTAGGTTGTAGTTTAGATATAGTTAGGTTAGGTAAGGTCCTGTTAAGTCTGGTTTAAATATGTTTATTATTCCCATTTTACTGTTTAAACGACATTTAATAGTATATTTCATAGTTTTACTGATATTTCCTTTTTGGTCTTATGACGTCATTATTGCCCACACATTGCATATGTAGTATTTTTCTTTTGTGAGTCATTTCATCCTTGATTAGGCGCGCATTGTTGGCATGACCCCGTTACGAGAAGATTTCAATTTTTGTCGATTTTTATAGATTTTAGGTGAGTTAGTTATCAAAGTGTTTAATTTTTGATGTTCTGTGAATAATTGAAAGCCATCAAAGTGTGATCTAATGCACTGAAAGCCATAGGTGTGGGAACAGGGGGGGGGGGGGGGGACGGCCGGGCCATCACCATGGCCCACCCACCTTTCAGCTACGTTACAATCAGATCGGATACTCAGCTCGACTTGCCCCCCCCCCCCCCCCCCACACACACTTCTCAAAACGTTCCTACACCTATGCTAAAAGCCATTTTTGGAGGGTGGTGTTATTTTCCAAAATTTGACAAGGCCTTTTCCGTCCCGATTTATGGAAGTTTCATCCCTATTTTTGGAAAATGCCCTTCTATTTTTGGAAGAGCATACTAAAAAAATGGAAGCTTCCAAAAATGAAACAGATGGCCACTGCCACTGTTTACCCAACTGATTTCCAGTCTGCAAAACATGGCAGGGAGCTCGACAAGATTTTCAGGGCAGACAAAGTCCTGCCCCGAATCAGAATGCTGAGTCCAGGGGTAGCCCAATTCCTGCCCCTAATGATGCAAATAATGTAATGATATAATGATGTAGGAAGCAGTGAGAAGCTGAGAAAATCACTTCCGTCAATTTTTTAAACTTCTGCACCAGATTTTCCTGCTTCTGCCCCAGTATTCCGGAAACCTGCCCCTATTTCTGCCCCGACCTGCGGTGTCTGCCCAGACAAGATCTCGTCGAAGAATGCCACATTTTGCAGACTGGACCAGGACTGATTTAGTGTGGTGATCACCCAGCTATATCACTATTGTTAGCAGGATGATTGGTGTACCTACCTATGTATGGATGGATGTATGGATCAACTTCATGATTTGCCAGCTGATTTGGTTATCAGTATTGTGATCAGCCAGCTGACAGCCTTTTCAAAAAGTTGTTCAGCCAGCTGACTGCATAATCATTTTCATGATAAACCATAGGGCTGTTCGGGTGCTGCAAAATATTTTGCGCGACTGTGACATCACACTTGTATGATGTCACTGCCCATCCCGTCGAGCAAAATCTTTCGCAGAACGCACCGAACACCTCAACATATTTTGCGCGAGACAATCGTGCCGCTCCATTCCAGCAAGCAGCGACGTAATAACTAATGAAAAACTTCACCAACCCATTTCCAATTTATGCACCGACAAAATAACACCAAACACTGCATAAATTCACTATAGTTAACACTGCACACTTCGCCACTGTACGTTGTCTGCGCCAAGTCTGCACCACTTTTGCCTCCTGCATCCTGAAATTTTAGGATGCGCGAAGCTGAAAGATTTTGCAGATGCCGATGTCACACATGTGACGTCATACGGTGGTGGGCGGAGCATAAGGCCTGAAAGGTCCCTACTGCGCATGCATGCTGCAAAATTTTACAATAGGATGTGCGGGCCGAACAGCCCTCATCATGGAGGGCATCTTTTCCTTATCATGTTTTTGATTGTGTTTGGGATCTGGCTACAGGTGACATAACCTTTGTGAAATTTTGTGATTTTCCAAAAGTGCTGCAAAATAGGCGTAAAATGATCACATTTGTGATTAATCACATTTGTGATTTCCTCCCCGTAGTTTGCCCAACTGAATCATAAGTCATAACAGGCTTTCCTCTTTTCAGGCAACTGTAGAAGTGGTTCTGCGTTGTACAGTTCCATTATGTCTGTTTTCTTCTAGCTCAATTGCTTTGTTTTGTCAGCATATCAATAACCACTTCAAGGATAAATCTGAGAACTGCAACTTTTTTCTCTGTCCGCGTTGTACACAAGGGTTCACAACTGGACGTTACTGGCTGAGACATTATGAAAGAACCCATGCTGTCAAGCAAAGTACGTCACAGTCGCACAAAGAGAAAGGAAGGCAAAGTCTGGAGGAGTCACCTTCAATCAGTACTCATTGTCAGGAAGAAGCTGAGGTTGAGACTGAGGCCTGGTGCTTGGATGATCAGGGTGAGAAAGGCTCTACAGCAAAAACTGAAGACAGTAGCCGGGAGAAAATAGCACGTTTCTTGCTTCGATTGCAATGTGAGCATGGGATGTCACGGGCTGCAACATCTTTCGTGGCTAGTGAGATAGGAGAAATCGTCGACACCGCTCTTAAGGAGCAGAATGAGAGCAGAGCATCAAAGTCGTCTTCAGTTAAGCAGGCTTGTGAAGAGTTTGCAAGCGAGTATAAATTGAGCAAATTCTGCCATGAGGAGCTCTGCTACATTGCACCTACGACTCAGATCCTTACCACAGGGGGTGGTGAATTCCAATCCAGCTATCAGTATGTGGATGTCAAGAAACAGCTGACAAGTCTCTTGGAAAATGGCAGGCTGGAAAACTGCAAACGGGACAGATTGGTCAAGCTTGTGCTCTACTTTGATGAATTTGGTGTGTGTAACCCTCTGCGGAAGAAAGCATCTGATTATAGTCTGGGTGGTTGCTATTTTGCGGTCGATGAGGGCTTGTCAATGTCGGTGCTGAGTGACATTCATCTCCTCCTACTATGTCCTACAAAACTCATCAAGCTTCATGGTTTGAACACAGTCATGAAGCCTGTGACAGATTCCCTGTGTGACCTCTTGAACAATGGCCTGGATACTTGTGGCACTCATTTTGATATCAAAGTGGAGTTTGTGTGTGGTGACAACCTGGGAGTGCATAAGATGGCGGGCTTCCAGGAATCATTTTCGTCAGGGCAGCGACCATGCCGAACATGCCACGCCACAAATGAGGACTTTGGTACAAAGCTCACAGAGCAAGAGCTGACCCTTCGTACTGAGGAGGAGTACCAAGAAGAGCTGAACATGTGTGAGAATGGAGACAATGAGGAATCTCGAAAAGCATTTGGTATCAACTCAAAATGTGTGTTTGATGAGCTGAAAGACTTTAAGGTCACAGAGATGTTTCCACCAGATATCGCGCACGATCTGTTTGAAAGTGGCGTAGTCAATCATTCCTTGGCTCTGGTGCTATCATACCTGATTTTTCAAATCAAACTCTTCACATTCGCCTCAGTTCAAAAGGCTATGAAATCCTTCTCATATGCGAGAGTCGACAAAGCGAACACTCCTCCCATGCTTCAAGCAAAGGGGCGCAAAGTGCTCGTCAAAGGCACTTTCAGTCAGTGCTGGACTTTCCTCCGAGTTCTCCCTTTCATGATCGGTCCACTGGTCCCACCAGATCAAAAGGCGTGGCTTCTTGTGACCGGTTTGCTTTCTCTTGTACAACTCATTTGTGCTCCACGTATGGACGGTGAAATTCTTGCAAGAATGCAACCTTCAGTAGAGCAGTGGCTGCGTGAGTTCTGTGGAATGTTCCCGGACTTCAAAATCAAGCCGAAGTTCCACTACTTATTACATTACCGGCACTGGGCAGCACAAATTGGTTCCTTGAGGAAAGCTTGGACTATGCGTTTTGAAGCTAAACACCAGCAGTTCAAGATCTACGCATCTCGAGCACACAACACCAAGAACATTTGTAAAACCCTCGCAGTGCGACACCAAGAAGCGGTAGCTGCATGCGAAGGAAAGCAAAAGAAGATGATGGGGAAGAAATGCAAGCCATGCCTAGTTACAGGTGCATTCGGATGGGAGGTGGATGACCGAGCTACGTACACCAAGATGGCAGTGCTTGCGGGACAGAAGTACTGCGTCGATGATGTGCTGATCGTGAGAAACCCGGCTGCTTCAAGCTCAGAGAGCTGTGATCTTCTTCGCGTAGCATATTTTCAGTTTGATGCAGTAAACCATGTCAAAATCATCGGTGACGTCTTGAGGGCGCTTTCGTTTGATGAGCACTATATGGCATACCGTGTGACTAAGGGCGAGATGATGATGATCCCTTCTGCTTGGATTTTTGACCCCACTCCGCTGGCTACTTATTCAGTGCAGACCGCAAAATACGTGCCCCTCAGGTACCAGATACCAGGTCTCCGAATCACCTCTGAAAGGTGAGTAATCTGTGCATTTTGCTTCAATTTGAAGTATCAGATTTACTGCGAACTCGCGACTGCTTGTATTGAGCAGTATTGCAGCTATTTGCTTCGCTGTTATGGCTATTGTGAGTGCAAACTTACACTCACTCGGGTCTTACACTGGCTCTGATATCTGACATGTAGCTAGCGGCCAGTTATGTGGCTTCCACGCGTCCATGGTGTGAAACTATTGCATGAACGCACGTGCACACACCGCCCCTATATCTCGGGAACGGATGAGGCGATTGTGCTCAAATTTGCTACGAAGGTAGAGACTGATCCGACATGCAGCTTCGACAACACTGGGGGCGTCACTGCACGTGCTTACCCCACCTCCTTCGAGCCGGGTCTTGGCTTGAATAGATTCGAGGTTAATTGCTGAATCTTTTTTGAGGATGGAGATGCTAGTTCGGAGCATTGTGTTACATATGATGATGAAGATGATTAGCCAGATGCTCATTATTCAGGATCAAAATTGATAGAATAGTTGTATTACGTTTCACCCACGGGGCTTCTTCGGATACATATGACAAACATATGTATCCGAAGAAGCCCCGTGGGTGAAACGTAATACAACTATTCTATCAATTTTGCTCCTAAATAATGAGCATCTGGCTAATCATCTTCATCATCATAATTGCTGAATCTCCAGTCGTTAACTTCTATCCGACATGACGCGTGTAAAATACTCTGCAAAACCTCTCTTTTGCTCGGTCGTGCACCGCTCAGAAGGCGTTATATGGTTATAAAACGTCGTTTTCAGCGTTCTGGATGACATTCAGAATCGGCATTGTCTCAGCTTTTCAAATAAGCTATGTCTGTCTTTTAGGATTGGGATACCCGATGTTATCCAACCACCCGTGAAGTGAGCTGTGCAACCCACGTGTCTAATGTGTGCGTAAATAGTAAACCATGTGCTGTTTCGCTTGCTGTTTCACCCACTCCATGGCTATCGATGATTTTAGGACATTGTAGTTAGATAATTAATGTAACCACTTGTCATATTTTTTTCAGCGGTCAACGATGAAGGCGCTAGTAAACCATCGAAGTGCTGCGCGCGTCTTCGAATTCGAGTCTGTCCTGGACCTTGTTCAAAAGGTTCGAGCGTTCTTCGGTCTGCAGGTTAGTTTATTGTTTGTTTGTTTGTTTGTTTGTTTGTTTGTTTGTTTGTTTTTTTGGAAGAGTGACGGAATAATTTTAGTTAACGGTGGGACTCAATGTCGTGTTTCAAGTAAAAGGCTGAAATAACGTTTTTTTTTTTGCTCACAGACCTTAAAATATAGTACCTAATAGTATTTTGTACTATATTTTAAGGTCTGTGAGCAAAAAAGTCCATATTATGGAAAGTATAATACAGCGGCCTTCGTAAAACAATACCATTCGGAGAAAATTTAATTAATGACATTAAAAAAAATATTTACACAATTTGTTTAAGGTAATGCAAAGCCATATACCTACGTAAACCATAATGTTAAGCTGCTGAACGAGGCTCAGATTGAAAATAGGCTGATGTGTTGGAAATACATAGTCTGTCTCAAATGCAACATCAACCATTTACAGCAGCTGTTGTCAGTAGTCTAACAGGAAAGAGAAGAGTGCAACCAAAGGCTCTATGATTATGCGTAATGATTGAGTATGAAAATGTCGGATGTGTTTGCCTATCATTTCCATCCCCCTCTCCACCTTGGAGCGACTAATGTGTGTGGTCTACTCCCGACCTGGCTACGAATGAGGTACATGTTTTGTCCCCAGGGTGGCGAATGGGATCTGGAGATCTATGATGACGACTGGTCCTCGTGGGTCCTGCTGAATGAGGAAGATGCGATAACTGGTGCTCGGCCTCGCATCAGGACCGTCATGCGTGGCGATCTGGTTGTTCTTGAAAGGTAGGACATCGATCTCTGTTAAGTTAGGTTGTTTTGAGAAATAAAATGTTGCTTATGCAGAATGCAGTTATAAAACTCTAAAAGAAAAAAAAAACGCCCATAATCATTTGCAACTGAATTTGCTCAGTTGCGTTCGTAAGTATTGAACAAGCTCGGCCTATGAATGTTTGCGTAGTTGGAAATTGTCCTGAAAAAAAATATGTTATCCTAATCTGGTATTGTATCAAACATCTTCTCTCATCCATTTTCAGCACTGGGACGACATCCACTTCGTCAGTGGTGGTTTCGCAGCTGGATACACCGGAGCCTCCAACGTCGCCCGAACTCCGTCGATCAGGGGAAGACGCAGAGATCCGGCCGAAGTCGGGAAGCGACGCTCTGGCCGAATCTCAACAAACCGCAGGAGTGTCTCGGTGAGTCTGTCAGGCTGACTTTGTCTTTATGCGTTTGGAATTAAACCTTTCAGCGCTTGTTTAATCGGGTGTGTCGAGTTTTCATCGTTATTTCTACATTTATTTTAATCGAATGAACCACAGGCCTCTATAAACCTCAAGAGTTCTATGAATGAATCTGTATGAAAAGTTACGTAATTTTATATATTTGTTAGTAGATCGACAGTCTTCCTTCCCGCGGATCGCTGCGCCGAACCGTGCCACCCAATCCCAGCTTGTCCACCAGTTTGGTTGCCTGTTGCCAAAATGCTCCTCAGACAGGTGACCACTGGCACTGACATCTATTCCGATCGCGAGGATAGACTATACTGCGCCGCGGCAAGACTTCGACTGTGGTGACTAGGCGCAGTAGTCGGTCTCTGGTGCGGCGACCCACCAGTTACTAATGCCATTTCGGTTCGTTTTCTTCGCAGGATGGATACTATGGAAGTCCTGGATGCCATGGAAGTGATCCGGTTTGACGACAGCCAGCTGAGACCTGGACTCCTCGAAAAGCTTCGAAGCAAAAAGCCCGGCTCACCTCTGACCAGGACGGAGTGGAGCGAAGTGACGACAGTCATCGTGACGTTCGAGAAAGCTTGTAACAGGTATCATCCCCGTAGATAACGTGGTGTTGTTGTAGCGCGGGTTGAGGACATTGAAGTTAACATAAAATACTATTATCATGCATTTTTTGGTACATTTTTTATTCAGCCCTAGCCGTAACCCGCGCCGGGCCGGTACTCCATTTGTAACACAGCGGGCCGCGGAGCAGGGGGTTTACACCCCCCGTCTAACTCGACTCCTGAGCATCGTTGAGACAAGCGATAGGCGGCGTTCGAAAGAGCGTTAAAAACCAGTAGGAAAGTATTTTTGTCATGTTTTGGTCAGACCAAAAACTAGGTCACCAGAGGTCACCGAGGAAAAAATGTTCTTTTTTACTTTTGATAGTTTTTCTTCAATAACTTTTGATCCAGAAAAGATAGAGGCATAATTCGCACGCCATTGTTCTCAGCTCGTCAAGGCGCGTTGAATGATATATAATATGACCTCAAAAGGTCAAGTTGAAAAGTTGACCTTAGGGCAAGGTTCATCTCATTCGATGCGCATTGACGAGACAAACACAATAATCGTCGAACGGAGTTTATCTCAATTCAATCAAAAGTTATTGCACAAAAACCGCTTGTGACCTCAGGTGACCTCGGATGACCCAGTGACACCTTCCTGCCTTCCACCTTTATGTCGGTTTTACTGTCTCGTGTGGTGTGCTTTCATGTTTACATATTTCCTTTAAATGATGTCTTATGTCTATGCCTTGCCCTGAAAACTCCTGTTCTAGCGTCTCCAAGTCGTTAAGCTCTCCCATGCCCTTTCTTTTTCCAAGCGTCCTGAACCTTACTCATGCTCGGTACATGGAGCTGGCTGACCGCGCCCTTGTTCAATGGCCGGCGCTGCACTTTGGGTGCAGCCCGAAACAGGCACTGGTAAGCACTTATTGCGTTGCTGTTTGATTCCATCAACTAATAGAAAATGACATCGGTCCAGGTCCGGGACAGTTCGTGAACTTATCTAATCGAACTCAGCTGAATATACTGAACGGAGGCACTTAGTCACCATGTCCTGAATTGGAAAATAGGTAATTGAACTGAACCTCAAGTAAAGTCGATCTGAATGAACTGAACTGAAGCGTTTGCGAACTGCTCCGGCCCTGGATCTGGCCATACTTGTATGTATATTCAGGGCTGCGGAGTCGACCAAATTTTAGCGACTCCGACTCCGACTACGACTGCGTCTTGAAAAAATCGACTCCGACTCCAACTCCGACTCCGACCCGCCCTACTTTGACATACCTGCATGACCAATGTTTCTAAATATGGGCGGCTTCTTCGCACTGGTTTAAATGCGGAGTCGAAGTACCATTTAGTTCAGTCTCCGTGTGAACCATGCATTGCCTCTATATACCAGCTGCAGTGGATGTTGAACGCCCTTAACGTTACATCTACCCTTGGGTTGTAATTTATGCACTGCTTTTCCTGTCTCAGTCGCAGGTCAAAGCAAAAATACAATGGCGCGTAAGGAATGAGAAGCGACGAGACGACGGAAGTGATGCCGAACTCCAAGCGTCATCAAAGAGGTTGTCACGCGGAAAAACATTCAAGGGATCGCGATATGAAGGATTCGAAGGCTACAAGGGTAAGCATTGGGCATTGTGAAATGCAAGACAGCGATGTAGTATGATGTAGTACATGTGACTGATAAGCGACTAGTGGTGAATATTTTGCCCATCTGCAAGCTTTGCATTGCATATATTAAAGGTAGTGTGCCACTTTGCATTGGCCATATGAAGTTATTGGCATGGGCGAAGAGAGCGGTCTCTCTCTCTCTCTCTCTCTCTCTCTCTCTCTCTCTCTCTCTCTCTCTCTCTCTCTCTCTCTCTCTCTCTCTCTCTCTCTCTCTCTCCCCTCCTCCCCCTCCTCCTCCCCCGCTGGCTCTAACATTTCGTATGAACATTTCGACAGAGTACCTTCCGCCTATGCCGGAGGAAGACGTTCAGCATCTGAGAAACCGCCTCTTGAAGCATCTACACGAGGCTAACCTGACGAGCGAAGGCAAAGCTGAGCGAGAGGCCCTGATCAACTCGACGTTCGCAGACAGGCGCAGGCATGTGGTGACGCTCCGCACCAGCATGCGCAAGCTTTTGGAGCTGTATCCAATCTTGCGGAACCCAGACGAAGTAAGTACTAAGTATGCCTTGGAAGTTGTAAAATTGTCATTATATTCCTACTCTCTAATTCCATAAAATGTCCCCTGTGTGTTGCATCGTTTCGGCTTTTATTCGTCGCCCACCATAGCTTTCTGACGTTTTCTCATCCATGGAGGATTCTATAATATGACTTAACTGTCCTCTAATTATATTGTTGATACCGGTTGTTCCAGATCTGGCGTGAGCTGGCCAAACTGGAGGGGGAGACGGAGTCGTCTAAGCTTGGTGACTACAGGCGCCGCCTGAGCGACTTTCTCACCGCCATCCAACTGATCACAGAATGTCAAGGTAAATACGGTAAACCATTCACGTCAACTATTGCCCCCCCCCCCCCCCATTACGACCATGCAAGATTGCTGCCGAACTACTAACCTATGGGCGACGTGAGACACGTCTCTGCTCATTACTTTCAAATCTAGTACCTAGCAGATGAATGAAAATTAAATTCAAAATACTACTCTGACTTGTGTCGTGTGCTTTGTCTGTGCATTGTTTATCCTTGTTTTCAAAACGCTCTTAACTAGTTAGGTTTAAGCGTGCAAATTACTCTGTGACGCCTGTTTCTCTCGCTCGCTCTTTCATCGCCCATGAGGTGGCTCACGGCTGTTTATTTGATCGAATTAACAGTGATATGGTCAAAAGCAGCCAGCTAGTTCAGTATGCGTTTCATAAACGTGACACCTCTTGGGCTCGTTCGTTCATCGCCGAACAGGTGTTATACTGACATTTGTGCTGTTATACTTCAGCGACCTTTATTGGATTGGCGAATCACTTGATCCTTGACCTGACGACCAGACCAGTTTTCACATGACCAGGTGAAAACTGACCCTCCCCCCCCCCAAAAAAAAATAGATATCAAAATTTGTGTTGTTAGCGGCATGGTCTCGAAATTCGAGGCCTTGGTGGCATTTTATACGATATCCGTGAGATCGGAAGACCTCAAGCAGCTAGCAAGTAGCAGTGTTATACTGTTAAAGGTAAATATCAGTCTGAAAATTTACCTCTATTTCAGACACCGACTGCGTGGAGTCTCTCCTCTACTACCTAGACGCGAACCCCGAGGACATCTTTGAGGGATCAGGAAGCGCGCCGCACTACCAGGTCAACGACGACGGGTCCATCGGCCTTTTCGTCGAGGGGGTCTGCTTGACAAGGTCGGTGGACCGGAGCAGCAAGGCTGATCTCCTGCTTCTGTGGGCAGCGATTTTCCCAGTGTTCAACCAGAAGTGCCCCGTGTCTAAGGCTAAGAACGCTCTGATATTTATCACGGTGAACATCTTTGAAAAGGGGGGCAACCAAACTCTTTCCAACCGTGTCCTGGGACGAGTCCAGCGTCTCAAGCAGCTCTGTGCGTAGCTCTGTGAGTAGCTTAGAACGGAACCTGAGAACGGAACGCCTTTGCCGCTCGGCTGTTAACACTTTCAAACCGTGTGACACGTCCAGCGTCTCGAGCAGCTCTGTGAGTAGCTGAGCACAGAACTTGATAACGGAATGTCTTTTCCGCTCGGCAGTTAACCCTTCGAACCGCGCCCTGGGACATGTCCAGAGTCTCAAGCATCTCTGTGCGTAGCTCTGTGCCTATAGCTTAGAACGTAACTTTAGAACGGAGCGCCTTTGCCGCTCGGCAGTTTCCTACAGAAGATTACTTTTTTAGGTTCATTTTTAGTACAATAAGAGAAATATTACTGTATGCAGTTGTAAGCTTGCTGAAAGGAGCTTGAATGCAGTTTTGAATAAACATGTTTGATGAGTTTAATTCGATTCGTTTTTTTGGGGGGGGGGGGCGGCTGTGAAAAGAGGTGACTAACACGCACATTAGTTAAGTTACACGCCTGTTCTCAAAAATGCATTTAGTTTATTAACACGCACAGCTTAGTTAGCTAACACGCAATATGTGTGTTTTGCGTACACGCATATAGCTAGTGAAAAGTGGCCGTGTGACAAACACATGTGTTACCTAACACGTCTGTAGTTATTAACAAAACACACCGATGATAGTCAATAAACACGCTTACACGGCTTATCTTAGTAACCTGGCAAATATTCGAAAACTAGGAGGTGTGTTTCAAAACACGCTATTCAACCTTTTGCGTGTAATTGAAAACACACTTAGTCATGAAATGCGTGTTTTGCTTACACGCCTATGGTTAGTGAAAAGTGGCCGGATAACTAACTAGTTGGTAAACTTTTTTTACAGTGTATCTCGGCCGCTACTGGGCCGATTTTATTGAAAATTGATATATTACGCTGCGCGTAATGCTGTCCCTCTAGTTGACATATATAAAAATCAAAATGTCTGTACGTATGTATGTATGTATGTATGTAACGCGTCAGTCACGCTTGGCGGGCTATTGCTCCGGAACGGTGCGGGGTACGGGGGTGAAATTTTCGACGCAAGTCGGACGCGTGCATCTGTTTGTCGTATTAAATTTTGGTGGGGGTGGGTTCGGTGGTTTGCACGTCGCGGGCGCATCTTTGCGGCATTTTGGGCCGCGGCCGGCGCCGATCAGAGAGCACGCGCCTTAGGCTCATTTTCTTCGCTTTCAAAACTGAGCGGAAGCATCGCTGGGGATCATTGACCTTTGACAATGAATACCGGAACAGAGCACCGCCGGCCAGGAGGACACACCAAATTTATTCTGGCCATTACTCGGCCGCTACTGGGCCGATTTTAATGAAAATTGATTTGTTACGCTGCGCGTAATGCTGTCCCTCTAGTTAAGTATATAAATTGACAAGTGTTGCTGAGCGTATAGGAAGGCCTTAAATTAATTATTATTCATTTGTTTTAAACTAAGACTAAAGCTAATGTTTAAAAATTGAGGTTTTTGCCCGACGTTTCGCGTTTATTGCTTATTCATGGGCTAATGCTAAAACATAATGATTTAGCATTATTATGTTTTCGTTGATTCATTATGTTTTAGCATTAGCCCATGAATAAGCAATAAACACGAAACGTCGGGCAAAAACCTCAATTTTTAAACATTAGCTTTAGTCTTAGTTTAAAACAAATGAATAATAATTAATTTAAGGCTTTCCTATACGCTCAGCAACATTTGTCGTACACGTATTTCCCTTGATTCACCCTGACTGAGCAACTCTGCCCGCGCTTACAAACTGTTCCATAGGATAGCGCATAGCTGTCTCACGGCCCCTCTATACCATAAAGCTGTGACACTAATTCAACCCCGCGAGGGGCGGACCCAGGCTGGTTTACAAATGTCAGACAGGACCGACAATGTGATGCCGGAACGACGCGGGCGTGCGTGTCGTGCTGGATGGTAATTCGCGGTGCCCCTAGTGCATATCTGTGCTTGGTGATAAAGTAGTGTCTGGGCTCAACATTACCGGATGATATAGGACAAATTCGTCCTGGTTGACATCAGCAATTACGAAGCTGTCACATCCATAGAGATCTTATAATATAGAGATGCCCAGGTACTAAAAACCTAACGTTTCTTGGGCGTTTTCTAAGCAAGAAATTACGCTCTTTGAATATCGTGATTTGTGTCTGTACCCTCTTCAAAAAAGAAAATGAATGATAATTATACGTACTTCCTCATTATATGAAGTGTAGAAATAAAGGATCACATTAGTCCACTTTAAACGTTTTTGTTGCAATAATTTCTTATGTTCTCGGACACGTTGAACACATCCATGGTTGTAACTTTGTATACTTTCGAGGTCCCATGTGGGACCCCAGTGCGAACATTTGGGACCCCAATTGTCATTTTGGGACCCCAATAATGGAGGCCCCCGAGACGCACCAGCTACTTTACAAACGGAGGTTCGATGTTCATATAGAAGGTTTTCTGTATAAATAGGAGGCCCCTTGGACAAATCGGAGGCCCTGTTGGACAAATGGGAGGTTCCCTGGACAAATAGGAGGCCCCCTGAGCAAGTAGGAGGCCCCCTAAACAAGTAGGAGGCCCCATGGACAAGTATTGGACATAGGAGGCCCCCTCTGTACGAATAGGAGGCCCCCTGGGCCTGGACAAATAGGAGGCCCTAGACCTAGACAAACAGGAAGCCCCTTTCACAAAAGGAGGCCCCCTGGACAATTAGGAGCCCCCTGGACAAATAGGTGGCCCTTTCACAAAAGGAGGCCCTCTGGACTGGACAATTAGGAGGCCCCCTGGACAAATAGGAGGCCCCCTGGACGAATAGAAGGCCCCTGGATAAATAGGAGGCCCTCTGAACAAGAAGGAGGCCCCCTGGATAAAGAGAAGGCCCCCTAAAAATAGGAGCCTTCTGGATAAATGGGAGGCTACTTTAACCAATAGGAGGCCCCCTGGACAAATAGGAGGCCCCCTGAACAAGTAGGAGGCCCGCTGGACAAATAGGAGGGCTCTTGGGCAAATAGGAGGCCCCTAGGAAAATAACAGCCGCTTGGACAAATAGGAGGCCCCTGGACAAATAGGATGCCCCCTGTACAAATAGGGGGCCTCTTGAACAAATAGCAGCCCCCATGGACAAGTAGGAGCTAGAGGCCCTCTGTACGAATAGGAGGCCCCTGAACAATTAGAAGGCTCCCTTAACAAAAAGGAGGCCCCTCAAAAAAGGAGGCCCAAGTAGGAGACCCCTGGACAAATAAGAGGCCCCTGCACAATTATGAGACCCCTGGTCGAATAGAAGACCCCTGGATAAATAGGAGGCCCCTGGACAAATAGGAGGCCCCTGAACACTTAGGAAGCCCCCTGGATAAAGAGGAGGCCCCCTGGAAAATAGAAGCCCCCTGGATAAATAGGGGACCTTCTGGACAAACAGGAGGCCTCCTGGACAAATATGAGGCCCCCTAGACGAATAGGAGGCCACTTGGACAAATAGGAGGCACCATTAACCTATAGGAGGCCCCCTAGACAAATAGGAGGCCCTCTGTAACAGTAGGAGGCTCTCTGTACGTACAAATAGGAGGCCGGCGCTCCTCGACCTGTAGAAGCTTAGCTGTATGTACAAAAAGGAGGCTCTCTGTGCAAGTAGTCGAAGTAGGAGGCTCTCTGTACTGTATGTACACTCGGGGGCAGATTGATGTTCCACCACTCCTTACCCATCGGGCTCCCATGGCTCAGCACTGGCAGCGCTGGCACTGGCAGGCAGTGCTGACCAGTGCTGAGAGGAGCAGGCAAGACTGGCAGCAGCCAGTGCTGAGCCATGGGAGCCCGATAGGTAGGGTGGTGGAACATCAATCTGCCCCCGAGAACATCTTTTGGTTTCATTCACATTTTTTCTAGACGCACCAGACTATGCGCTTATTATTTCATATATAACTTTTCTTGATCCGGTGAACCGTTGCAGAGATAAAAAATACTTTATATTTCAATATTCCGGGAAACCTTAAAATTTGCATGACCCATATCTCATGACCCCTGTGACCTAGAGACTAAAAATTCACTGGGACGTAGTAGTGCCCATAGGTCGACTTGCATGCCAAATTTGAGCAAAATCGGAGAGGTCATGGTGAACATGCCTAGGTGATCTGTCATGGAATTGCCCAGTTCTTTATAGTAGGTTTTCCACCTTTCGAATGAGTGGCCCGATACTTTGCTGTTTTCTACTAAATATTACAATAATTAATTTCATTTAAGGATTTACCACTCACGTACACCTAAAGCGTAAGCACGTTTATGAAATTCTCAAATCTATATACCTAGTGCTAGCACAATGATTAGAGTGAGTCCCAGTGGTCGGCAGGTCCTCCGGTGTCGTGCCCCCTTTTCGGGCGCCAGGCAGGGCCATTACCCCCAGTCCCCCACCTACCAGAACACATTGCATACACAACCAAGTTTACTGAAATGTCATACTCGAGGGCAGCGCTTTTCGAGGAGCGCTGTGGCCCGAAGGTTTGGACTTTGAATTGTGAAAAACGCCCGCCCGCCGGAAAACGCAAACACCGCAAAACGCGCAAAACGCACGCCCGAAACGCCAACGCAAACGTCGCAAAAAATAAACAAACGCCCGCCCGCCGCAAACCGCAAATAAAAAACGCAAAAACGCCGCAAAACAATAAAACCGCCCGCCAACCGCAAACAAATTTAACACCGCAAACGACGCAAAAAAAAGAAGAAAACCGCCCGCATCGCCCGCCCGCCCGCCCGCCCGCCGCCAAAGACAAACACCGCAAAAAACACAAAACGCCCGCCCGCCGCAAAACGTAAACACCGCAAAACGTGTAAAACGCACGCCCGAAAAGCCAACGCAAACGGCAAAAAATCACCCGACCGCCGCAAACCACACAGAAAAAAACGCCGAAACGCCGAAAAAAATAAAACCGCCCGCACCGCACCGACGCTAACTGCTAACCGAAAACGACTAAAAGTCGCCCGCCAGCCGCCAAACGCAAACACCGCAAATAAGCGCCCGGCCGCAGCAAGATAATAATTTATCAGCGGCTGGCATACCGCTAGGCTGGTCATTTTCACAAATCAAAAAGATATCTGCAAAAATCTCCTAGATGAAAGCGCCCGATTAAAAAACGGATGGCACGTGCGTGTTCCTCGCCCCCAACTTCCTTCAGGTCAATCGTCATTTGGGTCATCTAACGCATTGACGTATCTGCAAAAATCTCCTAGATGAAAGCGCCCGAGTAAAAAACGGATGGCACGTGCGTGTTCCTCGCCCCCAACTTCCTTCAGGTCAATCGTCATTTGGGTCATCTAACGCATTGACGACCGGCTGGGTGGAATGAACATTGCGCCAAGAAACGTAAGTATATTGTCAAAAAGAATCCCCAGAGTGGTGGATCCCAAAAGTTTGAAA